TTCCTCGTCACTTTCACTGACCCTCCATCGTACCAAGAATGATATCCTTTTTCAGACATAATCTCTCTTAGCAACACGTCCAAAGCAAGAGAGATGAAGCCTCGCCATCTTTGCCTCCGAGGAGGACTCTGACTCCACTTCCCCCAACAGATATCTGTTTGTTCTTTTAGCAGTTCAGGACTCTTCTTCCACATCACAATTCAAAGGTACCAATTCTTCTATCATCCTTATTCACTGCCCAGCTCTCAGATGCATAGCAAGTGATTGAAAGGCCACAGCTGAGTTTCTATTTTGTTTGGTGCAAGCAACTATGAGAGGCTTTTGTGATTAGCATCTGATTTGATGAAAGTCATGGACAACTACTGTAGCAATTCTGCATCCCTGAGACTAGTTTTTTTAAAAAAAATTATTATGAATATTTTATTGTAATGTCTTTATTATCAGCCTTTTACCTCTAAAATGACATGTATGATTCAAATGTAAAAACAAAACAAAAAGCCCCTTTATCATGGAGCTTTTATTTCTGTTTTGAAAAGTGACTTGAACCTAAGCTGTTCCATTATTTTATTTCAGTCCCTGGGTTCCAGATGTTAAATCTAAGCGGTCTCTAAGATGGCCTGTTGATTGCCATCATTGCTATTGCCCTGATTGGTTCAAGAACTTATTTTTTGTACTTCTAACATATAAAATAGTACTCAGCTCCATAGGTATGTGCATAGCATCAATAGTGTGCTCTCCAAGACTAATCTAAAGGCTGGTGCTCATAAGTCACTCAGAAGCATTGCAGAGATGCCCAGCAATCTGCTTCCATAAAGCTTGCAGCCCGTAAAGCCCAACTGAAAAGCTGTACTTTGTTAACACAAGTCGCCATTAGTCAGAATTACTCAAAGGTAACGATGTAAGATGTAGTCTATTCACTTCCAGTTTCTCAAGAAGGTCACAAGGCGAAACACAAATTCTCGGTCCTCTTCTGCTCTGACCTATCAGCTGATTTGACAGAACAAATATTCTATAATACTGGAAACTCTCAGTTGTTTCCTAGCTTGCACACTCCTCTGATATTTTTCCAACACACTAGCTGCTCATCCCGAGGCTCCGGTTAAGGTAGCTCCTCGTTTGATGTCAGTATGGAGACTAAGGTGCGCCTGACACAGGCCATGGTTTTGCAATCACTTGCTATACATCAGAGAGCTGGGCAATGACTAGGGATGATAGAAGGAGAATTGATGCCTTTGAGCTGTGGTGCTGGAGAAGAGTATTGAATATACCATGGACTGCTAAGAAAATGAACAGGTTTGTCCAGGAGAGGATTAAACCAAGCTGTTCCTTGTAGGCAAGGATTCTGACGCTTCATCTGATATACTTTGGAAATGTTTCAAGAATGGATCAATTCTTGGAGAAAGACGTCATGCTTGGGAAGGTGAAGGGACAGCCCAGGAGAAGAAGACCCTTTGTGAGATGGCTCGATTCAGTGACTGGGGTAATAGAGGTAGTAGGTGTGTTGGAGATGGTAAGATTTGCACAGGATAGGGCAGAATTTAGAGCTGTTGTACATAGGGTCACTATGAGTTGCAGATGACTTGACGGCACGTAATAACAACAACTACTTCAATTGATATGTGTTTTCATATTAAAATCCCCTAAGTCTCAGGCACTGAACTATGATCTTTAATATAAATTTACTAACTTTGTGTTATCTTCTCAAATCCTAGTATTGAATGCTACAAACCAGGTCCAGCTGTAGCATGTTCAGCTGAATTACACATACTAAACACAGAACAGACAAATCTTGGCTACCTAATATACAATTCTACTTTAACTGCTAAGAAAACAAACAGGTTCATCCTGGAAAGGGTTAAACCAGGATGTTCCTTGGAGGCAAGGATTCTGAGGTTCAGTCTGATATACTATGGACATGTTGCAAGGAGGGACCAGTTCTTGGAGAAGGACGTCATGCTTGGGAGGGTGGAGGGACAGCACAGTAGAGGAAGACCCTTTATGAGGTGGATTGATTCAGTAACTGGGATAATCAGGGTAGGTATGTCAGAGACAGTGAGATTAGCACAGGACATAGCAGGGTTTAGGGCTATTGTACATAGGTCTCTATGAGTCGCAGGAGACTCCATGGCACATGACAATAACTACAACAAATACTGAACTGATAAATCTTGACTATCTAATGTACATTAATTCTTCTTAAACTAACAACAATCTAATTGTTGTTGTTGTTCTGTATTGTGGCATCAAAACCAACTCATAGCTGACCCTCCAACGGGTTTTCAGAGGCAGTTAAATCTCTTGGAAAAAGACTGTCCACCTTCTTCTGTGGAGCAGCTGGTGGATTAGAAAGAGCCACACTGCCTTTGGATTGGTAGCACAGCTCCTTAGCACTAGGCCACCAGAGTTTCCTGAACTTCTACCAGACACCTTAAAGTTGAACTTGAATATTTTGCTAGAAATCTGCTCCAACCACAGTCATACATTTACTGGTAAATGACAGTTTTAGTCTAACTGCTCAGATTTTTTTAAAAAAAATGAAAACATAATTGACTCTTCAAGCCCGCCAGGAATATAACATGCACTTAATAGACATTCATGGGATTAAAGTTTACTGAAATTAAAATATAATTCATCACAAAGAAATATCCTACTTGAATTCCATTTTAATGTGATCTTCAATTCTCCTTTCAATAATCATAATTTCTAAAATTTTGTAAATATTCTACCAGCTCATTGTCTGGGTACCTTGAAAGCAGTAAATATCCAATCTAGTGTTTTCAAAATGTAAGAATAAAAATTTTTTTCTTAATCTTGCTATATATTTAAAAGAATAGCTCTGTCTGTGTATGTGTTAGAGAAATACTTATGGGGTTTTTTGGAACCCAGACAAGTCAGTATAGTTGAGCTGTATTGTTAGTACAGGGGTAATCTTCTTATGTTTGCCCTAGAAATAAGCACGTTAATAGCTAAGTGAGCTTGGAACAAATAATTTGACAGCTCTAATTAGTGAGTTCTGATGGCCTAGTAGCAAGAAGGTGCCTTGCAATTCTGAAAGTTCATGGCTCGAAGTCACCAGCTACTCCATGGAAGAGGGATAAGCTATCTCCTCCTGAGCAATTAACTTTCCCTGAGAACCCACCAGAGAATCAGCTATGGATCATTTCCGACTCTACAGTACTCAACGATTAATTCACAAGTTCTTTTTACGTTTTTCCGTTATTTCGAGATTTTTTTTTTCTTCTCATTCTCAGAAATACCAAACCGACTGCTGTTGAGTTGATTTTTACTCATGGTGGTCCTGTGTGTTACAAAGCAAAACTACTCCACAGGGGTTTTTCTGCCAGTAATGTTTATGGACATGGACAGCTAAGTCTTTCTCCTATAACACTGATGGCTGGATTTGAATCACAAACCTTTAAGTTACTTGTTCAGTTTAGACCAATTGTAGCACCCAGGAACCTTTTCTAGCTGCACAATGAATGATGACAAAAGAAGAATTGATGTCTTTGAGTTATGATGTTGGAGAAGAGTGCTGAATATCTAATTGACTGCCAAAAGAACAAACAAATATGTTTTGGAGAAAGTGCAGACAGCATGCTTGGAGGCAAAGATGGATGATAAAGCTTTGCTACACATACTTCAGCCATGTTGCTAGAATATCCTATTCCTTGGAGAGGAACACCATGCTTGGAAATATAAAGGGTTGGTGAAAGAGAAGAAGATCCTCAGTTTGATGGATTGACACAGTGACTGCTGAAATGCGCTTTAGTGTGTTAGGTAGGACAAGGCTCAGAGACGTTGTTTATAGGGTCAGTATGAGTCATACTTGACTTGATAGCACAACAACAACCACCTTTTCTTAATAATTCTGGTTTATCTATCATATTATTTCTGCTTATTTAATCATTTATACTCCATTGTCTAGTTACCAGAAGGAATCAGGTAGTCTTTGGGAAAAGACAACATAATGAGGAAAGTGGAAGGTCAGAAAAAAGAGAAGATCTTAGACAAGATGGATTGACAGAGTGACAAAAGGTTTGCACATATCAGAGAGCGCAAGGTTCAGACCCGTTGTTCATAGGGTCGCTATGCATGATATTTGCACTGATGACCCCTAAAAACAACAACAATAATGTATAATCTGCTACTACCCTAATACATATTTGTTATAGGAATTCACTTCATTCAATAAAGTCTGATGACATAAAATAATTGTATAAATGTCATTTTGATATAGACCCGGCTCAATTACAGAGTAAAACAAAACATCCCTAATTAAGAATTCTCAAACTCATTGTCATCAAGTTGGGTCCAACTCAAAGTTGTGGTTTGGAGGCTGTGAATCACATGTGAGGAGACTGTCCATATTTCCACCATGGAGTCACTGTTAGATTTGAACTGACAGAGAGACACGGTCTTAGATACAGCAGTACAACTACCTGTGGACTATGCCACCAGGCCTCTGTTTAATGAAAAATAATAACTACAAATTCTCTCTGATAAATTCAGAGAAAGAGACAATATATAGCATAGTAACTGAACCAACCCAAAACTAACTTCAGAATATATTTCTGATTCAAGAAAAATGATTCTACTTGGCCTACTTAATGGACTTTTCTGGTTTTCAGGGGAAATGGCCTTTGCATTTGCAATTGCTTTGATGCTCAATGCTTTAGGATATTTGCTGAGTTTTTTTAGTCCATAACTTTCTAGCACTTTATCAAAGCAAGTTCAAAAGGAAAGGACAATTATCCTTTTGAGGAGAGTGACAACATTGTCACATAGGATTAAGTTTGACAGGAGCGTAAAAGCAGGTACTCCACCTACACTCGGGACTAGAAGCCCGTCTGTCTGCCCAGTTTACCTGTGTAACCCAGAGGCATTCTTTCATTTAAAAAAAAGTGACAGTTTCAAAATTACATCATGTTTAGTACAGTCTTCATGGTTATCTAACATCATTCTGATTCATACAGGCACAAATGTAGTGGTTTTCATGTTACCTCATCTTGCTGTGAGTTTAGCAGCTGCAATTTCATATGCTTCATATAGGCCATGGTAATCGGCATGTTGTAGTCAATCATGCTGGTCACCAAAGTAGGGGGCTTTCCATTATCTGCAATGAAACATTGTTAATGGGTAATAAAAGAATACAATATTCTCCTTGTAAGATCAGATTGATGCAATTGGTCCAAATAGAAATAATGTTATAGATAGCAAGTGCTCAAGTCCTAGAGAGCATTTATTAATAGATTGTAATAGAAAAAAACCCCCAAACACTCACACACACTCCCAAACAAAATTGGTAAGGTTCTACAAAGGGACATTGAGACAAATAAGCATTCTTGATGAAAAATTATCTCTAAGTAGTAGAGAGCTTTCCAATATCTTGTGTAACCTTGATAGAGATAGTGAAGTGATCAAAGACCATTCATTTTCCTTCTCTAATTTGTGGTTGAATCACATTCTGTACATACATCCTGAGTGCAAAAGGTAATTTGCTGTTGTAGCTTACTTTATTTTGCCAGTTTTCTCTTCTTATGACACATGGAAATGGATTAAACTAAATGCATCTCAGAAATTAATATAATCTCAGAGAAGAATGAACAGATTAGGAAAATAATCTAGGTAACCTTATAAAAGCTGACCTGCAGGAGGAGCAGCTAATGAATCAGCTTTGATTTAAGGACCCGTAACAACAAGTCCAAATCAATATAATTGTTAACTAAATATTTTCAGTGAATACACTCATTATTATTCATTACTTTAAGAAATAAAAAATTGGGATTTTTTTTTAAGTTGGTGTATTTAAAGGAATATTTTTGTTGTTCAAAGGTCACAATTAACTTGAAGGCAACTAAAACAATAAAGCATTAATAGAAAACAAATTTCCTTGTAGACTAAATCTAAATCTAAAGTGCTATGAAATATATACAGTAAATGAGAACAGAAACACTATCATAGGGAAAAAGTTACTTGACACAGTTACAACTTCTGAGAAGAGACTTGAATCACTTTGTAAACAGATATTCAAAATTCACTGACACCCACTCGAATAAATGAGATGATCTGCCTTGTTGAACTGTTTCAACCTGCCCCATTTTTTATAAAAAGATGGGATATAAATTGGTATTACGAATAAAATGACTTTAAATCTCACTATTTGACACTGCAGCTACCTTTGTGATCGGTTCCATCTGGGTTTAAATGCATTCTTTTCTGGCACTCAGAGCAGCTCATTAGAAACCGTGTCACCGCTTCTCTTGGTAGGAAGGCATAGCTCTCTGAAATCTGAAATGATGCACAAAATACCAGTTACATGAGTCGGCTGAACACGGTTAAACAGAAATCAGCATTGTCTTTCCAAATAGGACACATTATTTCATAATGGCAGAAAGCGTAATGAAAGCATGCACTGCATACCATGCATCATTTCAAGAAATATCTATCCAACTCGATTGTATCTTTCTTAATGGCTGATAATGTAATGGGGAGGAGAAATCAACCACATCTGGATGGATATCTGTTTCTGCCTTTCTTTTACAGAAAAGAAAAATGTATAGACACTCTAGAGAATTGTCTTTACTACTAAAAATTGTCAATATTACTTTTTTGAAAACTTACTGCTAGCACTGAATCTTTATTTCTCAATTTTACAGGGAGGCTTTAAATTTGGCCCCACGAAGAAGCAGTGAACTTTGGATTCTGCCCAAGGAGTCTTGTCTTCACTATTGCCTTTCCAATTCTTTGAAGTGGTAATAAAAGATACATTTTAACAGGAGTCAAGTATATATTTTCTGCAGTGAATCATCCCTTCCACACAAAATGACACACATGGAAATGCATTCTGGCCATATCCTTTATTTCATGTCACTTTTTCCATAATTTATGTCCACAAGAGCTCTCAATGACTGGCAGAGCAAGCTTTGCCAGTGTCCTACACAGAGCTGCTATTCTGAGAACCAAGATCTAGAATCAAGTTAGAAATCCTTTAGCCACATGATTTTGTAAATATAAATGTCTCAAAAACCAGAGTATTTCTGTCTTCAGAGCAAACAATTCCTGACACAGAATTGACAGATTGCTAAATACCTCTAAATGGTAATAAAAGTAGATGCTGACTCGATGCAAAGTCTGACACAGGCTTCTGTGTTCCCCCAAACCATGAACATTTGCACAGGAAGTAAGAGCTAAGCAGGAGGAATAAATGAGTTGTAAATGAGACCTAAATGCCACAGACATTTTCTCAGGCTCATGCATGGCCTTTTTCAAACACTGGGATATGTTAAGTTAGCAGAAAGGAGGGAAAATATATACCATATGTATAATCTAGTATCATTAGATACCAATTTTATTAGTGGTAATAAGTTCCACTAGTGTTTATCTGCTGTGTAGGTGGAACACAATGCTGAGGAAAATCTACACACCAAGATCTAAAAAAAAAGAATTCAAGTATATTTTTCCTGATTTCAATATATCTTAGCTTAACCAACTGATTCTCAGGAAAAGAAGCTCTAAGCTTGTTCCAAGAGAAGGAATAAGTCTTCAATTAGAAACTGCTATGAACATTCTATATAAAGATATTTGAAATATAAATGTACTAGACTGTGAAATATGAAACTTTTATTAATAAAATAACTTTCATATAGGATGTTGTCCAGACTTTTTAAAAACTAGCTTGGACTATAAAATAAACTGTGGGAGAAAAACAAGCAGAGCATTTTCAAAGCATTGAATATCACAATGTTTTATATTAATTATTAAGAAAATTTATATGCAATACAAAGTCTCATTCTCCCTCTTTTCTCATGCACACACAAATTCAAATGTTGCTAATATATTTTTACCCCAAAAGATAATATGTTCACTTGTTTATCTGATAAAAAGTCTTTTTATCTGACTATCTGAAAAATCGATTTTGTAATAATTTAGAATGTTTTTTAAAAGGTTATGATGCATGAAGTGAGAGGGATAGCACTCCTTGATCTCAAAAGCTACTACACAGTGGTAGTAACCAAAAGAGCAGGGTACTGGTAGAATGATAGGCACATAGAGCGATGGAACAGAATTGTGAACCCAGAAAGAGATCCAGCATTTGGCAAGGAAATAAAACCTATCAAATGGGGAAATGACAACCACTTCAACAAATGGTGCTGGCAAAACTGGACTGCTACCTTCAAAAAGCTGAAACAGGATCCACATCTCACACCATACAAAAAAATAAACTCAAGGTGGATCAGAGATTTGGGAGCAAACCCCAAACTATAAAGTTCTTGAGAGACAAACTGGGATCAAGCTTAAAAAGCCAAGTCTACAGTATAAAGAAACTGCCAGATATAACCAGAAATGCACAATCTGAAGAGGATAAAATTGATGAATGGGACCTTCTAAAGATTAAATCCCTGTGCACATCAAAAACTTTTTCCAACAAGGTGAAAAGAAAACCTCCCAAGTGGGAACAAACATTTGGCAATACCATCTCACAAGAGTCTCATAACACAAGTTTACAGAATACTCCTGGACCTCCACAAGAAAAAGACTGATAACCCAATTACAAAATGGGCAAAAGTCATGGAAAGAATTTTCACACAGGAAGATATATGAATGACCAACAGACACATGAAAAAAATGCCCAAATTACCGGCAATAAGAGAGATGCAAATCAAAGCCACAAAGAGAGTACCATCTCACTCTAGTAAAAATGGCAAAGTTTAACAGTAAAGCAAGTAATAAATGTTGGAGAGGATGTGGAGAGGAAGGAACACTGACACACTGTTGGTGGGATTATAAAACATTATAAACACTCTGGAAGGCAGTTTGGCATTTCCTCCAAAAGCTGAACCTTGAAATTCCATACAACCCAGCTATTCCACTGCTTGGAATATACCCGGAGAAAATGAGAACTAAGGTACAGACAGAGACTTCCACAGCAATGTTCGCAGCATCACTATTCACCATTGCAAGAATATGGAAAGGATCTGGATGTCCAACTACATTTGAATGGACTGACGAATCATGGTACATTCACACAATGGAATATTACGCAGCACACAGAGGCAATAATTTTGTAAATGACTACCTGACTTGGGAGGCACTGGAGAGCATTATTAACTCAGTCACACAAGGATAAATATTGTTTCAAACCATTATTGCAGAATGAGTATAAAAATTCAAGGGGTGGGGGGAAGCAGAGGGGTAAGGATGAGGGACCACTAATCATAAGGTCACACAATTTGATGGGTGGGTAGGATGAAGGAAATGGGAAAGATCCAGTGTGAAACACAATGTATTTGAACTTTGTAAATAAACCAGCAAAATAAATAAATAGGTAAACTGAAGAGAGAAAAAAAGTTATGATGCAGAAACAACATGGTTCCCAGCTACAACACAATCTTATAAAAAAATTAACAAACTTCTCCTCAGAATGAGAAAACTTACTCTCATTCTATGGGGAAAAATCTAAAGTCTAAAGACTAAAAGTTAAAGGGATAGCAAAAATGCCTGAGAAGCTGTCCTGATTGAAGAACTGTATCTTGTTTCCAACTTGTTAACTTCTCTAAGAAACCATGAAAATGGTCTCTGAGTTCTGTATAGCCATTGCAACCAATCAGTGGACAAAGCAGTAGAGCAGCAAGAGTAATGGAAGGGACAGTTGACGTCAGAGTCATCAGCAGTGGATGTGGAGAGCATAGGGCATATTTTACCTCACAGGTACCAGTTTTGCTTTGTGGATGTTGTGAATGGGAACTCTTTCCCATTGTGGAGTTAGTGGAGGTTAGGGTTGGCTGTCTCACACCAAATATGCTATTTCTTCAAATGTACAAGCAACAGAAAACAAAATAGGTAATGGAGAACCCAGAAAATTTTAAATATATGTAAAAAAGTGCATCGAGGAACCATTTCTCTCACACTAGGCTAACTAGGCTAACTAAGCTAAAAAAGAAAAAATACTGTCAGCATGTCAAGAAATTGGAATCCTCAACCACTGCTGGTAGGAATGCAAAATGGTACAAACATTATAAAAATCAGTTTAATAGTTCAAAAAAAACCTAGAAGTAAAACTGCCATAACTCATTGATTCTACTTCTCGGTATATACAGTAAGGATAAAGGAGAATTTACATGGACAGACCCAAGCAAAGAAAAAAACAAACAAACAAACAAAAAAACCCCAAACACCACTATGTTTCTTACAAGATTATTCATAATAGCAAAAAGATGGAGAAATCCTAAGTGCTTATATTCATACATAGGCGAATGATAGATAAAATGTAGTATATAATTACAATGGAATATTACTTGGAAGTAAAGAAACATGATCGTAGTTTAATTTAGAAGCCATTATGTTAAGTGAAAGAAATCAACCACAAAGAGAAATAGTGTGTGTTATTACTTTTATGGAAGTGGTGTGAATAAGACACAGAAACAAATATTGTTAAGTTGAAGTAGGAGGAGTAGATGGTGAATATTCCTTAGATAGAAGCCACTTTTTTCATAGAATTAGAAAGGTGGTACCTAACATGGTAAAGTTTGCCCAGAGGGACCAATGCAACCATTGCCAATAAACTGCATATAATGAAAAGGGGGGAATGGGCAAATGCTTGGCTGTGTATTGTTTTTTCCACAATAACAAATTACCAGGAGTAAAATAGGGGTATATCTAGAGTTCCTGATACTAATTAGATATGACCAATCATCTCACATTATTACTTCTCTTGGTTTGTGACTCAGGTTCACGGTCTTGTGGGACTATCCTATCAACTGGCATAATATAATTCCAAAAGCCTATGTTCTTCTACCCAGTATGGTGTCTAAGGTATTCAAAGCTTATTAGTGGTCATGTAAGCTATAACTTTCTCCATCTGGAATTAAAGGAAAACTCATGTATCAGTCGAGCTGGTGGCCTAGTGGCAAGAAACTGCACTGCAATCCTATAGGTGCATGGTTCAAATCCACCAGATGCTCTGCTGGAGAAGGAGGGACAATCTCCTCCTGTACCAGTCAGATCTGATTTGACAGTAAGCACACACACTAATAATGATGATGATGATGATGATAATAATAATAATAATAATTAAAAACCCTCATGAATCAGGTAAGAAACTCTATTATAGGGCTAATTGTTTCTAGGAGCCACCTTCTCCTCCACCTTGAGACAAGAAGGACTAGATGGTGCCTGACTACTAGTGAGTGTTCTGATCAAAAACACAATAGGCAAATTCTGATAGGAAGCAGAAAAATGTGGAATAGAACTTGAACTTCATAATGAAACTACATTTACAAGGTCTCCCG